TGGCGGCGCCGCCTCGGCGACTCCTCGTGAGGGCAGCGCAGCCCGCGCCGCGTAGCGTCCGCGCGGGGGGCAAAAAGCGCCGCGCGGGGCCGCGCTCGGGCCCCTTGCGACCCGCCAGGCCCGGGCGGGCGTCACCGAGCACCAAACAGGGGAAACGGCCATCCGGGAGTCAGCGGGAGCACTCGAAGCCGGGAATTGCTGTGTTTATTTGGGCGGTCGAGGATGAGAAGCGACCAAGAGCCTGAGGCCTGTCGTGAGCCGGGCACGTCCAGGGAGGCCGTCGCCTCCTGCAGTCCTGCGGGGCTTCCGCTCCCGGTGCGGAGCAGCTGGAGGCCATTAAGAGCAGATATATGTGTGTGTCAGCAGGGAGTTATCACAGATGTGTCCTGGAGTGCTCCGTGGTTAGAGAGGCGCGGAGCATCGGGACCCTCACTGCAGACAGTGTCCATGCCTGGAAAAACGTGCTGGAAGCCGCTCAGGTGGCCAACGAGCAAAATGGTGTCAGCGGCACCTTGGGCTCCAGGAGACGCCGTGTGTGTCCCCCGGCAGACAGCGTGTGCTCCAAGTGCTTGGCACCGCGTACAGCGGGGAGAAGGGGTGCTGGCTGCTGCGCTAGGTTATGCAATCTGATATATGCTGCAAACAATAATTAAGTGCATGTTCTCTGTTGTGGCTTTCAGGACTTGGGCACACAAAGCATGCGGGGGGACGGCATTTTTCCAGCACTAAGTCAATTCCAAATATTCTCAGTCGAAACAACCTGTAATGCTTAAAAGCTGTTTAAATTTAGTTAAAACCTAATTTTGTTCACGTAAGGAAAATCTATCTGCTTTTTCCCCTAAGTTCTGTGATATCGTTTTACTTCACTTTGAGGACTAAACCTTCTTTATTTTTCTCATAATTCTTCACAGCAACTTGCAGGTGATGCTTCCAGCTTATCTTTAATGGCCAAGAAAAAACCCTTCAGAGGTGTCCTTGGGGTTTAGACTATTTAAGGGCAAGAAAAGTATATTTTGTTGTACCTGAAAACACAAGTCCTGGCTGTGCGGATGGATGATCTCTTTACAGAGCAATTCAGGCCGCGTGGGTCCCCCTGTGCCTGGTGATCAGTCCAGCTGTAGTCTTCAAGCAGTGGGGGGTCTGTGACCACGGGAAGAGTGTCCAAAATGCGAGAAAATGGACACTGTGGTTTCTAGTCCAGCCCAATGCTATAGGTCCCTGTGGCCACTTCTCTGAGCCTCTCTTCTGAATCCCTGCTGCTTTGTAACAGCTAGGAGAGTGGGTGGCTCTTTGCTGGCGTTGGACGGTTCCGCAGGGCCTTTGCTTGAGCAAAGGCTGCTCGCGGAGTTCAGCGCAGGCCCCCTTTGCCCCTGCAGCGCAGCAGGGCTAGGAGAGGGCATTTCTCCCTAGGAGGGTCCCTGGGGAGCCGGAGCTGTTTGCCCCGATGCCGATCGGGAAGGGGTTTCTCACCAAGCAGGACGCGTGGTCCCTCTGAGGCTGACATTATGCAGTGCCCTGATGGAAAATAACTGGCCTCCTGGAAACCTACCTTAAAAGGATAGGGATGCTGAATTAGCCTAATGACCCAATTAAATCTCAAGAGAATTAAAATGTGGTTTCTTTTGTCATTTGTAACTGAACTGTGGCTTTTCTGTCACTGATTCTAAGTGTAAACTGCAAATCCTCAGTAAGCGTAGGAAACAAACAGAACTTCAAATTTCTCATTTTCTTCCAGCCAGGAATTGATTTGAACTGTCTGCATTTGCTTCTTGAGCCATTGAGTGAGAAATAATGAAGGGGCTCGTGAGATATACCACTTTCTCTGCGAACTTTAGTGGTCTTATGTGTACAGAAGTAATGATGAATAGTTCAATTAAAAGTGCCTAACTTAACACTTAGTGGAAATGTGCACGTATTTCTGTGATAAGAGTGATTTTTCAGGGTTTCTAATGGCCTGAGCCCACAGTTTGCTCTAAGTAGTTCTCCATTGATGCTATGGAAGCGTGGCAAGGAAGGGAAATAATAAGGGTGTCAATATTTAGTAGTCTTTCTGAGCATAAATAATAAAGTACAGTTGTACAATGTACAGAATAATTCTTTATTTCTTTGTTCTCTAGGGATTTAAGTCATAATCATTTATTATCATCTAACTGGAGCATTGATTTGTCTGTTCACACGCTACAAGAAGTGTAAGTTACTGTTTATCATAAAATCAGTAGTAAAGATCTCAAAAATTCTACGTGGTAGCCTCCAAAGTTTTGCCTTTTAATGTATATCCAGGTATCTGGTCTGATTTGAAGAAATAGCCAATGTTGATAAATTAAAAATGGAGGTGCTATGTTGTATTTTATGTAAACCTCTGATATTCTGTGTACAGAAAACTTTCTGATAGAAAACTATTTTAAAAAAGAAATGGGATTTCTGCTGGTTTTGAGTATGGCTAATTCTATCTTAAACAGAAGTAATGGTACCATTTTTAACAGTAATAGTAGTGTACTTTGGTGCAAAATTTTTCAAACTATTAGTGTTTAAACAGGCTTTTAAGGAATTTGTTTTTCTACTATTACCTAATTAACATAACAACTTTTAAAAGTTATGATATGAGTTAATTCTGCTTTGTAGAATAGAGTTATTCTCTTTGAAGGGTCAATGAAGAATTATTATCTTTTATTTTTAGGAAGATGAATTACAATGAGCTAAGTGAAATTCCATACTTTGGAGAAACAACTTCTAATATAACTCTTCTCTCGCTGTAAGCAACAGTTTCTCTGCCTTTTTTCTGCCTTTGTTCTTTAGAAAGGGGGATAATATTAGAATTTTGCTATCAGACTGCAGGTTATCATAACTTATTTATCTGGGAATACTGTTTGTCTAAAGTGCTTTGGGGAATACGTAAGCACTCTTTAAAGAAATACAAATCAGTTGGACAATCAAGTCACGCTACGTTACCAATAAAATGCAGCCAAGCAAGGCAGGCAGTGTTGAAGGGGAGGGAGGCGGCCTAGGAATGACAGTTTCCACAAGAAACGGCCCAATTACAGGCCCCAAAACTTGAATCTGTTCGTATGTCAAAACGGTCTTGGGTTTTCGATATTGCTTTATGGATTAATACTGAAGTATGTGCTGCCTTTCCCATTTAAGAGACTCGCTAAAAATGTTAATGCCAGGAACCCTACAGTTGTTTCAGATGTGGAATTTGAAGGATGGGATATTTTGATAATCATATTTGCTGGTATTTTTTCAGGGTACACAACACAATTCCAGAAATAAATGCTGAGCAGCTGCAAGTTTACCTTTCTTTGGAGAATCTAGATCTTAGTTCTAATCTAATCTCAGAAATTAAAACTTCTTCTTTCCCGAAGATGCAGTTGAAGTACCTGTAAGTATGAGTGGTCTCCTGGCCCTACAGTAGTGATGTTGAAGGTGTCATTTACTCTGAGATCTTTATTACAGGTTTTGCTGCAAGGGCTGGAACTGGTAGCAGTGCTCACTGTAGCTGCAAATGTGCTTAGAATAAAATACCCCTAATACCAAGTCTGCATCATATTTTCTCAGACAGTGTTGAAGATCACTGAACGCTGATGTCAAAGTGCTGGGATTTCAGCCAGCAGGGACATACAGTGATTTATTTGTTTATATATTTTGCTTATCTTGAGTAGATCACCGTCGACATTGTCTTAACCATGCCTAACGGAAGGGTGGGCATGCAGGAAAAGCGGCTCCTACCAACGATTCCTGTC